GAAACTGTATATATGTTAGAGAAAAGCCTTTAAATAAAAATAAAGTTTCTACGTTGGCAATATAAAAAAAAAAAAAATTTAATATTGCTTAAATTTTTAAAAAAATTAATTAAATTTTTAAATTTTTTTTATATATTTCTGGTTCACCCCTGAAAATCAAAATTTTGAGTAAACAAAAGTAATCAAACTATTAAAGCTCGGTACTTTACTAAATAAATATTATATTGGGTCCTCCGGGACAAAGAACAAACTAATACCACACAGTATTACAACCTTTAAACAAAATTAAACGTACAAGAGACTGTGTTTTCTTCACTTCTCAGACCTTTGAGCCTTTTCTCACCTTTAACGGTCACTACACCCTAACTATAGATGCACACACCTCAACTTTCAACCAGTCCTCACACTCTTCTAATCAAGCACCTAACAACCCTCTCCCACAAAAAGAAGTAGACAAAATGACCCCAACAATACAGTTACTCAAATGGACTACTCTTTGACTACCCCTACCCCAACCGCTCTCACAACACAATTACAACAAAGTGAGCAAAACACCATACCCCCAGAAAGCAACAAACCGATCGGGGCTCCTGTGCCTGTTCCAGTTAGCGTGGGAAAAACCGCAGAAATTCCCACGCCGTTCATCACACAAACACTGTACCCAATTTGGTACAACAATCTACCTCAGCAGTCGATTTACAATCTTCCGATCTCCCAGGGCTTTCTGGACCTGAAAACACACTTACAACCGAGCCCAACCCATTAACGGCTAACAACCTAGCCCTTTTACCCGACTCTACTGCCAACTCCCACCAAGACTTACCTATGGACACTCACTCAAATACTACAATCGAATTCTTACCAAAAAGATCCTATGCTACTGCACTTTTGGGTAACCAAAAACTTAAACCCCAACACAAATTTTCGGGCCACCGAGACTTCAAATAGTGCACTTCAGTTCTTAAAAATCTAGCAATACAACATATCGATAAATTTGACAAACTTAAATGGCACAATGACTATATTATCTCTGTATTTGAAGATATTACTAAACTTCAAGAATTTTTTGTCCACAAAATAACTTCCTTTCCTACTTCTTACAAATTACCACTGGCAATCAATGAAAAATTCGTCCACTTGAACACCGCCTTCTTTAAATCCTTTACTTGCAATAATTCTACTCAACCTCAACACCAGAAAGAATTCGAAACTCTCTTACAAATTGTAACTGAAAGATACAAACGTTGCCATGATGCTCATTATATCAATAAAACCAACCAGGACCAACTCTTCCAAAGACTTAAGGCAAAACTTGCACTCGACTTCTTATATAACTTGGACTTCATGTTGAAAAGCCCTCATGATATTACAAGATATATCACCTACTTGTTAAACTTCGCAAAAATCACCATGCTCTTCGATTTCGAAAAAATTAGAGCTACTTTAACCTCTGCTCACGCCTCTCTTCTAAAACCTTTACTCTCTTCTCCACATGGCATTACCAATAATATCATTCAGATTCTTCCATTTAAACTACCTATTACTGATCGCAGTGACACCAGGGCAGTTGTTCTTGCTTTGTGCAAAATATACACATTTGATAAACTGCATGATAGCTACTTCAAAACCTAATTACTACCTCTTCTTGACCACCCTCTGAACTCAACCTCAAAATATAAGATCTATTCCCCATTACTAAACCATCTAAGCTCGCATACTTAGCCCTCTACCATCAAAAACTATCCAAATACTATATTGTAGGCGAAAAAATCCCACCACCCTATTTCAATCTACTACCACAAAAACCTGTTTACCTAGTACACCACAAAACTTAAACTTGGCTACTCGACACCTATTTCCTTGCAACCCTAAAGATTCCACTAAATTTTGCCACTTTGTTGAGGTCCTTCGCCAACACAATAGTTTTAAATATGTCCCCTCTAACTTTTTTGTATAGAAACAGCCTTTTCCTCAAAACTCAACACAAGTAGCTACTTCAAAAAAATACTCCTTCCCTATCAACAACCCAACACTAGCAAAAGAGTTTCTGGCAGCTATTTAAAACAAATACCACTTTACTCTACCTCTCCCCGAGCAATATATGACAGTTAACTCTACAAACAAACCAAAACTACTCTTGATCGCTGATGAGATAAAGCTGGTCAATATTACTACACCTATTACAAGCTCCAAAGTTCTAGTTGAAACTGCATGCCTCTTAAGAGAATACTACTATTTCAAACAAATTCCAGCTGACTGGATTAATATTCTACAAAAAGCCTCAATTAAAACAGATCATCCCCCTCTACCATCCACACTCGATGAAATCAGAGCTATAATTAATTATATATCTACACCCGAACCAATTGTTCTACTAGCTACTTCTCAACAAGAAGTTGAAAATGCTATTGCATTCTTACATACTCACTTTACCTTCAGATGGGTTCTCCCACATCGTCGATATCCCTGAACTCCCTGTACCTAAATGGGAACTCTTTAACAATTATGTCCCTGATGAGTAAATTCACTAACATATATGATCAACTATCGAAAACTAACATCTTATTTTCTAACCATATACCTCCTTCGACACCTCATACTAACCATCACAACCCCACCTCTCCTATTGAACAAACTTTTAACATACTTAACTACAATGTCCAAGGGATCAACTAGTCACTCAAACTACAACTACTACTAGAATACTGTGATTCTAAAGAAATAGATATAGCCTTTCTAACAGAAACAAAAATAGCTGCATCTACTAACCCCATAGCACTTATTAACCCGCTTTACAAGATTTACACATCAAACTGTGATCAAACTAATGCAAACATTCATGAATCATGTAAAGGTGTTGCAATAGCTCTAAAACCATCAATTCAACCACACATCTATAAAATCAGCACTATACCTGGTATTGCCCTTCTCATCGATCTATACTTCCCTACAAACAGTAAGATACGCCTTATAGCAACCTATCTACCATCATCCTTAACACCATTATTATGTACCGTCCAACAACAAATCATCTCTTGGGTTAACAATGGTCACTCTCGAAACATGAACCTCATAATTGCTGGTGACTTTAACTGTAATACTAACTACCCCAACTATTACAAACAATGCCTCTTACTCCAACACCTTGCATCTATTAGCTTCATAAGCCTATTACAACTACACCACATCACTGAACCTACCTGGAATCAGAACTAGTTGTCAAGCCAAATAAATGATATATGGGTCTCTTCTGAAATCGCACTCTCATTTACTATGCCCCTTATTCTTGACCCTACCAACATTACTGATAGTGACCACTAAATACTCACCACTTCACAACATACATACCTCATAGTCAAACAGCCTCGGCTCAAAAAACAGTACTGAAAAACTTACAACTACGATCATATGAATTCCAAACTCTGAAAGGATTTCGCTGGATTTATCTCAACCCATATATTAGCCTCCGCTTACCATCACTAGCAAATTACCAACACACACCAACTAAACAAAACTTTCAACAATCTTAACAATATCATTAAACAAGCAGCTGACAAATTTATACCTTATACCTATACTAGCCCCCATACCTTCTATGCTCATTCCTTTAAAGCTAGCTCTTTATATTGAGCACTAAAACATATTAACCATATCTTTAATATAATTAATTGACCTATTCCATTTCATATTCAACACATCACTACTTCTGTTAACAGCATTCTCGACAAAATCAATGCACTTACTCAAGCTACCAATCAACACCTTCAACTTAACGACTTGGAGTACAGCTCCTACACCCATACAAAAACACATCTTAAACAACTCCGCTCAACTTTATCCCTTAATATGTAGACCAACGCAGGCAAATTTGACTGCGTTTTTGCACTTTTTTAGCTCTGATTTACTTTTTTAAAATGCTAAAATATTTAAATAAAACTTTGCACAATTA